GATCTTATATGTCAAGGAGTCAGTGGGAGTCTTAATGGTCTTGAAAGTTTCAAGAACAAATCAAATAAACCTTATCGATCATCACTAGCACACGAGTTGAGGTTTACAACCTATCGTGTTGACATTATTTTGATTTGTGCAATCCAATTGAGTTAATTATGCATGTGAGTTCTATGAGTTCTCATTTTGAACGCATAAAAGGCAAGCACCTTAATCAATGAAAGGTACATTGATAGGAAAAGGTGAGTTGCTTAACTACTTGGAAGACGTGGTGGGCAGCTGTGCTACCATAAGGCAAGAAATCAAGATTAAGAAAGTTCGGTCCATATGAGTTTGAATTTGTCGTAAACTTTGGTTTTAACAAATTCACATGGATAGGAACAAATACACCATTTAAATCTAAGTGTCATAAGATTTCCTCCTTCATGAAAATGATTGTGAGGAAATGCTTTCACTAAGAAAGATTTTAAGAAGATAGTGATTGTAAAATTGCATTCTCGAATTGATCATGGTTACGGTATCCCTTTCCATAATTTGAATTGTGAGGTTTGGCAATTAGTCTTAATTGTTAAGACACACATATGAACTATCTAAGGCAAAGGTGTATAAGTTCAAGAAGCCTTGATAAAAGATTATCAAAGCACTAAGTATTAGAAACATGGACTTAAGAAATTCAATAGGTATTGTCTTTCTGAAAGTTAAGATGTTTATGAATACATGTCGAAGCTAGTGGGAGCATAAGTGTTATGTTTTACAATAATCATCATGATAGTGGGAGCATAAATATTATGATTGTATGATTATTAAGGCACGTATTGCAAAGTTGGCAATATTAATTATAGAAAACAAGAGTTAAACCTTGCAAAGTAGTAAGGGTTATAAAGTTGTTTTGCTATAATTAAGGGAGAGAATATTATGCTTCATTTCAAATCTAAAGGATTAGGTTGTGGAATGTTAATAAATTTAGTCAAAGGTACATGTGTGTTCTTAAAATTTCGATTATGATTACGGCATTCCTCTTCACAATTCGAATTTTGAGAACATAGCAAATAAAACATTATGCGTCGTGTCCCATACGCTTCGGGTATAGGATCGATTGCAAATGCTTTAATGTTTGACCATTCTAAAATTTTCCAAATGTCTAGCGCATTTAGAGGGAAAAGGGACTAGAATTGGTTTTGACTAAAATAATTAAACAACTATCAAAGGACAATCCAAAGTTCGACGAGGATTGGTCGCTTGTGAGTAGTTGGAAGTATAGTATTGGAAAATATGGAAATGTTTCCATATTGGATGGACCATATCGACATCATTACAAATAGAAAAGATTCTATTAAGAATGAGTTGTCATGAGGAAAATATGGAAGCGTGTTCATATTAGGAAGTAAATATTGAAAATCTATGTCTAGATTAGAAACTTTTATGCAAAAGGATGTTCAAAGGAATGTACTTTGAGAGAGAGACATCATATCTAAGGAATTGTCTTGTAACAATCTCCGATAGAGGACGTTGTAATATCATTGGCAATAGTCTTTGTGACTTTGGTGCAGTGACATTACGAAAGGATTGTTGCATAAAGTGTTAGAATCTAGCATATTCTATAAGTAGCAAGAATTTGATATTCTTACACTTATGAAAAAGGATTTGGAGTTGTAAAATGAGAATGATTGGAAATGTGTGTTCAATTTGTCTATTTCACAAAAGTAAGAACCATAGGTAAACATTGTGTGCATGCTAGGAGCATGGGACAAGTGTTGGAATTCAAGTAAGAAGTTGATTACCCGAAACGACAAATAATGAGTAATCAATATGGTGATAAATAAAAGGCGTTTTATTTATACTCAAAGGTTTGAGGCCATATGGGATTAGTATTATTCTTGTGTTTCACATTTGCATGTTTTGACTTCCAGAATAATTGAGTTTATTAAGAATAATCGAATTATTCGAACGGGCCACAGTCATTCATATGTTGGAAGTAGATATGAATGAAGACTGTCATGAATTGGTGTGTGGATTGTCTAAAGAGCATTAGACATAAGCAAATGTTTGCTGCAACGTTCATGAGTGCTTATGAATATGATTTGAGCATTGGATTAAACCCACGCTCACTTGGATCACTCCATGAATTGTATCACGAGTGATTAGTGAGACGATAACATCTTATATTCTTGAAACCGAGATGTGTGAGTTGTATCTTGCAAATCGGTTGCACATTGATAATATGTAAACGCACTAGTAACTTGGTGTTATAAAACATATTGTTGTGTGTGATTCGGTGAGTGAGTGCAAGCAAGCATTGTATCAAAGTTTATCCGTTCCTTTTATCCAAAGAAGGATAAAAGCGATATCTTTGGGCCCCTCGATGGTTTAGTGATGACAAACGTAAATGCTCGGCCGGGCTAGGGCTAATTTGATTTGTTCAATTAGTCTGTCGTCATAAATCAGAAATCGAGAAGTAGTACAAAGAGAATGATTTGAAATCATATCTCATACGATATCTAGAATGGAGGAATATATGATCCCTTATCTAAGGACACGCGTATCTGATAGGATCAGAGTTGACAGCGGCTTTGGAAAGCTACGATTGCAGATCAGGATCTGAAGTCATACGCATAATAGTTATTAGACTTATCCAAGTGGGAGACTGTTGGATTAGTGTCTAAGTCCATAACTATTTTGGTATGTACTTGACCCGATGGTGCATGGTCCTTTTGGGTTGCCTTCACCAAAGCAACTTGATTGGAGAAATAAATAAAGAGAGAAAGGTTATTATGATTTATTAATATGTTATAAGAATAATATATTAAAGGAGAAATCATATTTGTTTAGTTAATATTGGTCAATAATTAATTAGGAATTAATTTTGTGATCAAGTGTAATTAATTAAACTAGAGGGGTTGATTTGTAATTATGTGATAGTTACAAAATAAGATAAGGATTATCTTATTATTAGGGTGAACAAATTTAAGGTGATAAGGGCTTAGAATTCGACTATGATAAGGATTCAAGGATTATCTTATGGGTTGCTTTGTGGATAAGCAACTAGATAAGGATAATGACTGAAACCCTATCTCTAACCTATATAAAGACCCCAAGGCTCATGAATTTGTGTATCCCTTCCCAAGAAGTCCTAAGGACGAATTCTAACCTCTCTCCTCTCTCTTTATACCTTCTCCATTTGCTCTTGGTGTTTGTAAGCCATTAGAGGAGTGACACTTGTGACTCTAAGCATTCCAAAGTCAATTCAAGGAGATTTGGGATTGTTATTGCTACATAACAATCAAGGTAACATTATAAACTCATTCTTATGTTAATATGATTACTTGCATGTTAGAATTAGGGTTTATAGTCTTGGATTCAAAGCATGTACAATAGAGAAACCTAGATCCAAGCATTAGGGTTTGTATGAGCACATAGGATGTCTTATGACCAAAACCCATCAGCTACAACCAATCATAATGGTAATATATGAACACTTTTATAAAAGTTCGTTATCTAGATGTTTATAAGAAAAAAGATAGTTACCAAGATATGAACAAACCGAAAATTTAATTACCTTAATAGGTCTATTTCCCTTTTGTAACGAGCTACGTTGATGGTGGAAAAAGAAACGTAACATAGGATTAAAACTTAAAAAATATATTCCAAAATAAAAAGCTAATTTTTTTATATTTCTAAAAAAAACTTAAAAGAAGCATCGTCTAAGTCCCTCACAACATGGTTTTGCCATAGCTTGACAACTTACACCTATTTAAAATTATATAACAAATCATTACATGTAATAACACATGGTGATATATCTAATTCAATCTCTTTGTGCTAATTCAAACTTCAACTAGTTATTGTTATGCAATATTTCTGCACAACTGCATCATTGATCTTTTAGTTTAATTAACTCAGTTTCCACACCCTTGTTTCGCTTTTAAATAAAAATGTCACTCTATATTAGGGACGAGCTTTAGAACCGGATCGGTTCGGAACCGAAACTAGTTTTCCCATGTTATAAGAACTGGGAACCGGACCGCCGGTTCTGGTTCTGGTCCCGGAGTTTGTAAATGATTCAATATTTAACCAAATTAAGACTTTTTATATTCTAAATCGAAGTACAAATACTAAATTATATGATGAAAAAATAATCAAATAATTCCGACTTCGTATATCTAACTAAATGGTGAAACAGAAAAATTGTGAAACAGAAAATACGCAGCATTGATATGCTGTCTTTTGGAGTTTATAACTGATTCAATATCTAACTAAAATATGTGTTTTTATAGTCTAAAATTAACTACAAACACAAAATTACATGTTAGGAAAAAAATTTAAGTAATTTCGACATCATATTAATTACTTATGCTCATTTTAAAAAATGGGAAAGATTAAAAAAAAAACACAACATTGATATTCTTTCTTACGGGGCATGTATCCGATTTAATATCTAATCAAAACATATGTTTGTACAGTAAAAAATGAATTACAAACTCCAAATTACATGTCGAAAAAAAATCAAATAATTCAAACTTCATATGAATGAGTTATGCACATTTTAAAAAATAAGAAAAAATGTCAAACCGGTTCCGATTTTTAGAACCGGAACCTGTTTTCATAAAAATGGAGAACCGGTAACCGGACCTTATTACCAATTCCGATTTCGGTCCGATTCCAATTCGGTTTTGATCCAGTTCAATTCCGGCAATCCTAATGTTCATCCCTATCCTATCCTATATGTCTATCATGTTTTCCAATATTACAAAATTTACATCATTTAGAGTACAAATAGGTTATTTATAATTGATGGTTTGGACATCCATCCATCACATGCTAACCAAACGTAATCATAAAAAATAATGACACGTGGCCAATTTGAAGGTAGAGTATATTTAGATTTTAGACAATGTATAAACAAACAAAAATCGTGGAAACAAAAAGTGGTACGCTTATCATCAACCAAAAACTCAAAATGCGAATTTGTTTTAGTCAAGAGATCTTCGAAAACAACCCATTCATTTCTTTTCATTAGTCGTGAAAAAGATGCCCTCTGTTGCTAACCAGATACTATCCCCACTTTTCTCCTTTACACCACAAACCTACAAAATCATGAAACACAAGTAAAATCACTTTAGATATCTTGTTTAGGATCATTTCTTACACATGACATAAAAAACATCCACTATGTTAAAAGTCTTTTCAATCACCATAATGGGTCCCATCATTTTGTTTAAAACACCATTTTAATACCTTATTTTACCCAATATTTTCACTCTAGCATTTTTTTAATTCCTACAAACATAATTAATACTTAATAAATATGTTCTTTAACACTTTTTTTTATATATAAAAAATCAATATAGATTACGTTTTGTCAAACTACACAATAAAAAAATAAATTTTGTTTTATTTTATTATTATAATTATAATTTAATATAAAATAAATAAATAAATAAATTAGGGACACAATTATAACACTTAAAGCATCATCGACCTCTTTTTTATGGACATTGATCAGATACACTAGAGATGTTTTAACATGGTGAACTGCATTTGATACGTTGTTCTGTCACAACAAAGACCGATATGAATTGGATAGATTTGAAATCTTTGTCTAGCACAAAAAGGCGGGACAATAACTCTCACACACTCATAAACTTTTAGATATGAAAAGTCATAAATACCCTCCGATCTCATTATCGAAGATTGCCCAAGAAAGCTCACCTCTTGCTGACCACCAGCAACGCCTCTATATTTCTTGTCATGGCTATGAAGATATCCACTCGTGTCAACATGATGAAGTCTTATTTTTTGATCTTGCTTCCAACTTTTCTCACTTCCCTCAATTACAAGTCTAACAACAACATAATAATAATAATAATAATAATAATAATAATAATAATAATAATAATAATAATAATAATAATAGATTAGTCATTAGATGAATGGGTGTATGAATTAATATAATGATAATGATAATTGCTATCTCACTTCCAATGATCTCCACTATCTGATCTACCACCATCTCCAAAGCAACTCACCTACACGAAATTTCAATTGATTGAATATTTGAATTCCATTAATTTATAATAAATCAAAACGCCAATTAATCAACTAATTAACCTCAAGATTGCCTGAAAGTGGGGAAGCATGCAAATGGCTATGGAGCCATTTTCTTGTTTTGAGGTGTTGCAGTCTAATAATGGTCCCACTTTTTATACTTTCTCCCTGTTTTACAGATGTCTCAAGAGTAGGCCCAACAACCTGTATTTGTCAGATTTCAATTCGAAGAAGAGATCAGTTTCATAGATATAAGATCGATGTGATAATGTGAAGAACATGAATTCAGCATTCTGATTACTACATAATACCCAATAGCTATTAGCATCATTGACTTTGGAGAAACTGGTTACAGATTGCTGCCCACTGCCTGATCCATATGGTACTGGGTGCGAATGCAGCCTGAATTTTGTCTTTTCATGCATCAGTTTGATCACCGATCCGTAAGAAACCTAATTGTGGATTAAATTTCAGGAGAATATCACAAATTGAAGAAGGATAACTTCTCAAAAGTATGATTCGAGTATAAATCATCTTCAAAATCAGACTCTAAGACGCAATTGCAGTATATCCAGGCATGAATTCAACAAGATTCTCAAACAAAAACCAGATATGAGACTCGCAGTATATCTACGATATCGTTTTGTGAGTTCAAATTGAAAAAAAAAAAAAGTATTGTTAATCGATTATACATTTTGTAGATTACCTCTACGCCTTCGGAAGTGGCAGCGTCGACATGAGACGTCAAGTGATCTGATTCTAGGGTTATGAATAGGAAAACAGTGATACCGAAGAAGAACGATAACGCCATTAAAAGTAAAATTACGAGTAACTTATTTCGTGGCCAAAGCGATAGGTGTAGATCCGATTTCGACGACGATAATTGAGTAGGGGTTGATGACGGTGAATCCGATGAATTAGAAGAAGCGGTTCTTCTTCTGAAGAGGTGGTTGTTGTTCTGTTGGTGTTGCGATGACGGATGAGCCACGGCTTAAGATTTTCCCTGGTCGGAGCCTCCGGCTGAAGATATGATCACCGCCGACGTGTGTATCGGTTGAATGAAGAGAAGGAGAAATTGCATGCGTTTTGAAGTGTGTTTAGGATCTCTAAGGTGAAGTACAGTGATCGTTCTTCAATGGCGATTCGAAATAGGATGCACCATGCATATACAATGACACGACGAATACTAGGATTTTATAGTATTTTTGAAAAGGTTTCTAAACATAAAATTAAATATGTTTTATTATTTTATATTTTCCAAGTGTTCATGAAGCAGGATGAGTTGGGTTAAGGTGTTCCCTTGATACATAATGGGTTCAACTTAGCAGTGAAAACGGGTCCAAACCCAGATCGAATGGATCCGAAATAGGAAAACCCGCAAACCAGAAAATGTGATTTAGTATAATTGGAAACCATATCGGTGTATAGGAACCGGCTCCGGTTCGGTTCCGAGTATGAGACCGGGTAAAATAGGTCTAGAATCGGAAATGTTAAAGTGGGTATGATGGAACAAGGTTCTGGATTTTAGAACCGGAAAATCGTAAATTTTTGTGCTTTTAACTTGTAATTAGGGGCTGTTTTGTCATACTTTTGCAACGAGGGAGTTGTTTTGGTACTTTTGTATTAAGGGGACATGTTGGATTTTTTTTTTTTAAGATTCTCGGTGTAAGGACTCCCATGTGAGGATGGTTTTTTGTCTTCTATTTTAGTTGACCGAGAATCCAAATCGCACGGATGATTTCTTTATTTTAGGTCTTTAAAATATCGGATCAGGTCTTCTTTACCGTTTTACCTATATCCACTAAACCTCGATCCACTAGACTCGGATACCCATTTTGGGCTTAAAGTGATCCAGAACATATTTGAAGTTCATCTCTAGTTCAACTATTAACGTGTACATGTATATATAAGGTTGTTTTTACTTTACGCAACCACTAATAAAATAATAAATATGTAATATCTTAATGAATTAAGCCAAAAATCTTGATTTTTTTCCTTGGTCTCTAGTCTTTATGTTTAGGTTTAGGTTTTTGATTTGTGTGTATGTTATGTCTAGGTTTTTGGTGTGGATGCGTTCCTATGGTTTATGCATATCTTAAATTGAAAGTCTTGATTATTTTTATTCAATATGTGCTTCTCAAATTTTGGTGTGTATGAGTTTTTCTTCTTAATTGTTATATCAAAGGGTATATAACCTATCGGTATCGAAAATTGATTGATATTCGTCAATCTACAAAAGGTTGAAGGTTTCAATCCCATTTGTAATGAAAGGTGTAGATTCATAAGTAGAATAGTAAGTATGTTTGTAAGTCGTTCTCAAAAAAATGTTAAGACTATCAATTTTGTTTTTCGATTCGTGTAGTTTTGCATGATTATTATATTGATTGTTTTGATTTGAATTGTTTTGTAAAATGATGTTGCTATTTGTTATATGGTTAAAATTGATAAATGTTATGTAATTTGTTTATATAAGTATAAGGATAGTATCGTTAATACATGACTTAATGAAAAGAAACTAACTTTGTATACAATATTTTATTTGATATTACTCATTAACCATTTTATTCATACATAACATAATAGTAAAAAAGCATGCCTTAAAAGATGCAATCATCATTTTTTTAGTTTCGATTGAGATATTTATAGAAGGATTCATATTATTGAAATTTTGAAAGATAAATAACCAAGTTATTTGTCCAACATGGGCAACAAATTATTTTTTTAGAATCATGACCTTTTAAATTTATTTTCTTTGTTTAAATTCGACAATTACTAAGGTGTAGTGTATACACCACATGCCTCACGCAACAACGTAAACACCAAACTTTTTCTTTCAAGGGGGAGGGGGTGTTCTCTTCATCTTCCCTTCGTAGCTCATCTTCCCTTCGTAGCTGAGGCCAAGGAAAAAAAAATATAGATGAAAAAAGAGAGAACGAAGCAAAAGTTGTGCGGTGTGTAATGGACATTAACACATTTTTCTACGCAACACCCTAATCACCACACCTAGAGGGTGGTGTTTCCGCTTGTTCACACATGCCACATCAACACCGTGCCTCTCATGTGACTTGTATATTGTATAACCTAATGACAATAATATCATTATCCGGCGACCATCTCTCTTAACTTGGATATCATGACTATATTAATAATAAAACGAAGATATATCTCTAATAATCAAATTTGAATTCAGTTATTTCCTTTCCCCAAAAGTAAGTTGCATAATAAAATAAGCTTTCGACAACTTTTATTAAAGTATTGTATTTTTAAATCAAAACTTAAGGATAATATTATTAAAAGAGAACCTTTAATTCTAAAATGAAGAAATCAGAGCCATTGATTGCATTTTAATCTATTTGGGAAAAAAACTTAGGAGGGTAACTACCTTTTATCCGTGTTCACATATTGGCAACTTCTTTTTTGTATATAATAAAGCAACTAACTTGTTTTAACTGTTTAAATTACACTAATATTACCGGTTAATAACTGTTTTAACCGGTAACTCAAAAGGAAAATGACTTAAGAGGGTAACTACATCTTATTCGTGTTCACATATTGGTAACTTCTTATTTTTTGTACATAAGAAAGCAACTAACTTGTTTTAACTGTGTAACATCCCAAAAATCATGAACAAAAATTTCGTTTTTAATTTAATACTAAAACCATAATTGTCAAACCATTAATTTAATACTCCGGTATCGGGCCCCGTCTGGCATCGAGCCCCGCTCGGTATACAGATCTGTCTCTCTTAGGTCTCGCCCACTAAACACACACAATCATATAACATTCTAACACATAAAGAAACATACTCTACCGTATCCCTGTCCTAAGAAACATAGCTAATAATGAGATACGGAATTTCGTCCGTACTCAACTAGTTCCAGCCAGAGCTTCAGCAGTGCAAGGTGAGTCTCCTCACTGTGTGAATGGGTCTAAGGCCACAATGCAGCCCATGTAGTCTATGAGTAGGAAGACCCGGGGGTTAGCCATAGGCATTGTATGCTAGTATGTTATTCCAGACCAAGGTTCGATGTCAGGCGGGTCCCATATCTCATCACTAGCTGAGTACGGACGATGTTCCATATCTCATTATTAACAGAGTATGTTTCTTAGGACAAAGATATAGTAGAGTATGTTTCTTTATGTGTTAGCATGTTATATGATTGTATGTGTTTAGCGGGCGGGGCCCGGCGACAGGCAGGGCCTAAAAGAGACAGACATGTATACTGTGCGAGGCTCGAAGCCAGGCAGGGCCGATGTCAGAGTATTAAATTAATGGTTTGACAATTATGGTTTTAGTATTAAATTAAAAACGAAATTTTTGGTCATGATTTTTGGGATGTTACACAGTTAAAACAAGTTAGTTGCTTTATTATGTACAAAAAATAAGAAGTTGCCAACATGTGAACACGAATAAGAGGTAGTTACCCTCCTAAGTCATTTTCCCTTTGAGTTACCGGTTAAAACAAGTATTAGCCGATAATATTGGTGTAATTTAAACAGTTAAAACAAGTTAGTTGCTCTATTATGTACAAAAAAGAAGAAGTTGTCAATATGTGAACACGGATAAAAGGTAGTTACCCTCCTAAGTCATTTTCCCCTTATATTTTCCATCATTGGATTATTTGCTGACATCATATTTGTCAATCATTTTATTTTTGTTCACCAAATTTATAAAACGTATATTATGTTTTATATTAGGAAGTTTATTAATAACAATTAATCTCATCAAAAGTACAAATTAATTAAATTATGAATTCTATTGATAACAATTAAATCTCACCAAAAATAAAATGAATTAAATTAGGATTTCTATTAATAACAATTAAATCTCACCAAAAATAAAATGAAAAAATACACCACCGCACCCTTTATTACCAATATCCCTACACTTTCTCCTCATTTCTTTACATAATCTATCTAACCTAAGTTTTGTATTGGGGAAGAAAATAGGGGAAAAGAAATAGAGTACTTGTGGGCTTCGATCTGTATGGATTAATCTTGTGTTCGATCATAATTGAAGAATTAGGAATGATATAGAGATAAATTTTATTTGGATTCTACTTTAATTTGATCGTAGTTTAGATCGATTTTGGTTAAGTTTTACATTATGTTTATTTTATTATGTTTCAACTATGAAGTTCCAATCTATAAAACCTTTCGATTTAAGTTTAGATCGATAATGGTTACGTTTTCTAAATCTGCTTCGATTTTTCTTCTTATGATCTATATTGTTGATTTTGATTTTTTAAGTTATATGTATCTGTGAGCAAAAAGATGGACACAATAGCACAACTACCTCTCATCCATTGTTTCGATTTGGAAGATATGTCCACTAGGTAGTAAATTTGTATATGTCGATTTTATTTTTTATTTTTACGTTTTTTGTGTATGTGTTTAGTCAATGATTTTTTTTTGTGGCTTACGAAATCGTGAATGGAAGATATACCCGAGTTAATGTCTATAATGTTTTACCCATTTGATCTCTTCCTGAATTTAGAGATAGAATTCAAACCCTTATACCAATGAGTGAACCACATCAAAACCCACTAGTGATAGTTGTTTTGATTTATTGTAAAAAAATCTTTCTATAAAAACACAAATTGGGCTTTCAGAAAGGAGTTATTCACCGATCCCTTTTTAATATTATAAAACATTTTTTAGACTCAATAGCAAAGAAAATACAAAGTTTTAGTATACCATGTAAATAGATTACATCGATAAACCTTATTGGAAAATGTTTATTATTGATTATTTTTGGTTACTTAGTAGGTTTTTTTGTGAAAAACTGTATTCTAATTTATATTACATATTATTCTGTTTTTTTTTCAAATGAGAGATACCTAGAACTAAGATTGCTAATTTTCATTTTGTGTTTTTGGAATACATTATAGTTATGAACGTGATGCTATGCAAGTACTTGCGTTGCCTGGTCATGTTGAGAAGTATAATAAGAACCTTGCACAACCTTATTATTTCGTTTAATTAGTTTGAATCTTCTTATTGACTTTACTTTCTCAAGGATAAATAGCCATACCCTACACTCTTGAAAATAGGGTTGCGAACGTTGTGAGTATCTAGGTTTTCTCCGCAATAAGATAAGACATTAGTATAAAAGTTGCAATATAAACCTTTTTAAATTACATAATAATAACTAAGCA